TGACTTTTAGCTAATAGACATTCTAGTAGGTGTGAGATGATATCTCATTTTGATTTACATTTCTCTGATGATCAGGGAAAGGTTTTACACTTGATGTACCTACTTAGCATATGCATGTCTTCCTTGGAAAAATGTCTGCTCAGGCTCTTTACCAATTGTGTCATTTCTTCTTTTACTATTATTGTTTTATTGTTGAGTTGTATCAGTTCCTTATATGTTTTGGATATTGGACTCTCATTCTATTTTGAGATAGTTTTTGTGTAAGGTGTATAATAAGGATCAAATCTGACTTTTTTGCATGTGAACATCTCTTAGGAAAGAGACTATGCTTTCCTCATTGTTTTCAGGCAATATCTTTTCCCATCTCTTCACTTTTATTATATGTGTATGTGTATATGTGTATACTTAAATGTGAGGTCTATCACTTGTAGGCAGTGTGAAGTTGGGTCTTGATTTTTATCCTTTCAGACACTCTATGTCTTGATTGCAGAATTTAATGTTCATATTTAAAATTAATATTGGTAGGTAAGGACTTACTATTGCCATTTTGTCAATAGTAAGTTTTGTTTTTTAGGGGGCTATTTTATAGGTCCTTTTGATCTTTTTTCTTCTCTTGCTATCTTTATTGAATTGATGTGTTGTATGGATTGATAAGTTGTATGCTTTGATGCTTTCTGTTTCTCTTTTGTGTACCTACTAAGATTTTAGCTTCATTGTGGTTACCATGAGATTTACATGAAGCCTCTTATAGTTATAACCATATATAAAATTATACTTTTACTTGTTTTATGGTTTTGATGTCACATTTTAAAACTTTTTATGTTGTGTATCCTTTAACAAATTATTGTAGCTATAGTTATTTTTAGTATTTTTTGTGTTTTAGCCTTCATACTAGAGTTGTGATTTACTTACCACCATGAGAATATTTAGAGTATTCTGAATTTTACTATATACTTACATTTACCAGTGAATTTTATTCTTTCATGTGTTTTTATGTTACTAATTAGCATCCTTTCATTTCAGCTTGAAGAACTCCCTTTAGCATTTCTTGTATAGCAGGTCTAGTGGTGATGAACTCCTTCAGCTTTTGTTTGTCTGGAAAAATCTTTATCTCTCCTTCATTTCTGAAGGACAGCTTTGTCAGGTAAAGTATTCTTGGTTGGCAATTTTTTCTTTCAGCCGGATGAACGTACCATCCTATTCTCTGCTGGCCTGCAAGGATTGCAGAGAAATCTTTTAGTAGACCTTTGGAGTTCCTTTGTATGTGGTGAACTTTTTTTTTTTTTCTTGTTTCTTTCAACATTTCTTTTCTTTTCTTTATTTACTTGGTACTGGGGAATTGAACCCAGTGGCACTTTACCATTGAGCTCCATTCCCAGTCCTTTTTATTTTATACTTTGAGACAGGGTCTCACTAAGTTGCTGAGGCTGACCTTGAACTTACAGTCCTCCTGATTCAGCCTCCAGAGTCACAAGGATTACAGTTGTGTACCATCATGCCTGACATTTTCCTTGATTTTTGATAATTTGATTTTATCTTTGTGAAATCTTTGGTTGAACCTTATTGGGAAACTTTATACTTCATGTACCTGGATGTCCATTTCTCTTCTTATATTTGGGGATTTTCAGCTATTATTTCTTTACATAATCTTTCTTTTTTCTTTTCTCTCTTTTCTCCTATCAGGATTCCCATAATGTGAATGTTACTGTTGTTTAAACTTCTCATTGTTTTCATGTATTGCTTATTTTCTAATTTCAGTGAATTGTCCATCTGCTGTCTTGTAGCTTCTTTAAACTCCCCCCCCACCACCACCACCACCATGCTGCTGGGAATTGAACCCAAGGCCTCATGCACTCTAAGTTCATGCTCTACTAACCGAGTACACTTCCAACCCAAACAATTATCTTTAATTCTTTGACAAACCATTTACAAATCTCCATTTCTTTATGGTTAGTTACTGGACTATTATTGTGTTCCTTTGGTGGTATCATATTTTTTGCATTTACTTGTTTTTTGAAGTCTTGTGTCTTCACATCTGAAGAACTTACCTCCTGTAGTCTTTACTGACTGGATCCTGGAATGATGCATCTTTTCCAAATAGCCCAGTTAGGAATTCTGAGCTCCATCAGGACTTGACTATCATCATATCTACTCTACAGCTCTTTTTTCCTCTTGAGGAAAAATTTTTAAGATGGTATGCTCTCTCTGGATCCCACAAAGCTAATGCTAAAGAGCCTCTTGTTTATTTTCTCTAGGGTGGTGCCCATTAAAATGCCTAAGTTGTGTGCCTTTGTTGAGTCCCATAAAGCTGAGCCAGACGTCCTTGTTAGGCCCTTGCACTCACTCTATGAGGTCATGCTTTGACTGCTGGCCTCAGGGAATGGGCAGTAGATAGGCAGAGTTTTGGGGGTGCCCAAAGGCCATTTGTGGAAGAGTCTATAGGTATGCATGGACTTTCTGATAGAGTCAATGGAGTAGTTAGTTATGCCTCTCTTCTCTGCTTCCAGTTCATCCATGCCTATCACCTCAGTATTCTGGGTGGAATGAGAAGGAAGTGGGACTCCTGGAAGTATCCCACAGAGCAGGGGAACCTAGTGATCACTCTTTTGTCTTTTCCCTGTGGGAGAAATCATGAGCTGAGTAGTCTCTCTTTTCACTGAGCCATGCTACTTTGAGGGAGGTGAGATGCAATCAGGGTGAAACTATTCTTAAACCCCTTCGGTGTACCTGTTTTTGGAATTTTTGTTCTAATGGTATGCTGGAACTTCTCCACTGTATTCTTAGACTCCCACAAAGGTACTCTCATCTACAGGTAGTTATAAAAATCAATGCTTCTGTAAAAGATGTTAGAGTGTTCCTGTTTGTCCATCTTACTGTTGTCACCCAGCAGCATCTCTTCTAAAAGCTCATTATGTCAGAACAAAGGTGAACACATCAAAAGCAATAAGCAAAGAAGAAATTTATTCTTATTTTATGACGTAGTTGGCTAAGGGATACAACCAGAATATTTATATGTCCTTCCTGTCAAATATGTTAAAGTTGAGTAAACAAAAATGCCAAGTTCTCTTTTTAAAGTTTGACATATAAAATGCTGCAGTAAATTCCAAATTATAATAATTAACAATGATAAAAGAACTATATCAGTTAGTGATGAACATTCATGAAAATGCAGAGAAATTTTATTGATAAGAATCTTATAAAATAAATATAAATAGTTTGACTATCATTTCAGGAAGAAATTATTGTATTTACTGTTTGTTGTTTCTGTGACCAGTATAGCAAAATGTATAATTAACCTAAGCCTAAAAATAACATTATAAGTTATGTAGAAGCTTCCACTGGAGATGAAAGAAAACATGGACTCAGATCAGAGGTTATAAACTGATAGTTTAAGAGCCAGTTTTGCCAACAGTTAAAATTCAGAAGAGTTTACATTGAAAAGATCTAGGGTTTCATCTTCTCTTGAAGAAACAGTGTCTGATAACACTGGGACATCTTTTTGCTTGGCATTTTAATTGTAAGAGCTATCTCCTAGTGGAATGTATGCTCTGTTTTATTCTTGACTGCACCACTCAGTCTCCTCCCTTAGTTTACATGCTTCCACCTGGGAGCAACCTGGTTTCTAAGAAATTCACTGAGACCTGTGCTTAAGATTTCATTTCTGCTGTTATTATTTTATTAGAAGTAGTCTTTTTTATTTCAAAGAGAATTTGTCATTCTACCTATAATAAGGCCAAAATGTTTTAAATTTCATGAAGTAAAGATTTTAAAGAAAATATTCTTACATTATAATTTCTGGCAATAATTACACATTTGTAAATACTAGCTTTACCATGTGCTGTTTTCATTACAATAAGTCCACATCTATTTCTATTTTCTGATATACTGTAAAGCCATAATATGTACTGTTTGTTAATTGCTATTATTTTGCCTATTTTTAACTTCACCATTAAAAAATACAAATTTCTATGTTAAAATGAAAATGCTCAAGTTATTAAATGTATTTGTTCACCAAATAGCATTAGATATTGTTTTACTATTATTTCAGATTTGTCTAATTATTTATCACATAATAATTATTCAAATTTAATTCTATAGTTACTTTTTTAAAAAAGTATCTTTGTTTTGTTTGTTTATTTTTACATGGTGCTGAGGATCAAACCCAGTGCCTCACATATATGAAGCAAGTGCTCTGCCACTGAGCCACAACCCCAGCCCTATAATTACTTTTATCTTTGATTTGCTAATCTCACAAACATTTATCTCTATGCTAAAGCCAAGCTCATTAAGTGTGATAAAATAAGACAGGTACAAACTTAGTTTTGTTTTATAACTACCATATCCTGGCAGTATTTTTGTATTAGCTTCAGAAGCATATGTAACCGAAATTCTTATTTGTTATACAAATTCTTATTTGTTCTTTGCTTCAAGATTCTCTCTCTCTTTTTTAAGAATTTCTTTTTTAGTTGTAGATGGACACGATACCTTTATTTTGTTTTTCTGTATTTTTATGTGGTGCTGAGGATCGAACCCAGTGCCTCACACATGCTAGGCGAGAGCTCTACCACTGAGCCACAACCCTAGCCCCTGTTTCAAGACTTTTTACACTTTATTTATTTAGTATTTTCACATTGTTTTTCTTCTATACATGTTTTAGACATTCACGTACTTCCACTGTGATTCTTTTTTGACCTAAAATATATTGTAAAAATATAATGAAAGTACCTGAAAATGTTAAACCTTCTCAGCAAGTCGTCCTTTAAGTTGCATAATCAATGAAAATAAACATGAATTTTTTATAAAAGAAGAAATAATGCTTGCCTGGCATGTGCAATACATTATATTTGATTCCCAGAACTTAGAGAGAGAGAGACTTTCATATCTAGGTGTATAGTCAGGGAATAGTGCTTATGTGAACTATGAATTTGCAATTGATAATACTGAATCACCATTCATTGGGAGATCCACTCCATTTTTTTCTCCTTTATTTATTTCTCCAGGTGGGGTAAAACCTTGTGCATTAAACTGCTTGGCTGAAGGTTACAATTTCTACACTGAGCGTGCCCCTGCAGTGATTGATGGGACCCAATGCAATGCGGACTCACTGGATATCTGTATCAATGGAGAGTGCAAGGTTGCTCAGATTTTACTCTTCTTTGTTGGGATTTTTGATACCTTTCTTTTTCTTAGTTAGTAGCTCCTATTTAATTCTATGTTCCATTTAAAAAAGCACATTTTAGGGAAATTCAATTTCCAATTAAGGATGACAACATATTTAGCTTGTAGAATGACCCATTCATATTTAAGTACCATGAAAGTGAAATTTATTCTGGTATTCTAGTTATGTTTATAGCAATTGCCAGGGGTCTGAAATGTTTTGAACTTTAATTTCCATTATTCTTCTGTTCTGTTTACAAACAAAATGACAGAAAAAGAGAGGTAACAAAAATTCAACTCATTCATATGGCTACCATATGTTCTCATTGGAAGATTTTATATATTTTGTATCATAATTCTTCTTCAAAGTGAGAAATAGCCATGCTCCTCCTACTTTATCTCCTTTTGAAGCATTTACAATGGTTTTCATTATAGTGTTAGTGTTTATATTATTAAAGCATTTACTTTAGAATATCAGTCAAACTACTTGGAAACTATAGAAGTAAATCCAAACTATGTTTCTTAAACTTGTGTGTGAATCTTGTCATAATAACAAAAGCCACAAAACCTACTGTTCTCATACTTTTTAAAATTCTTGTTTGGTTTTGTTTTACTTTAAAGAGAAACACATAACTAAGTGATACAAACTGAGAAGAGATAAAAGTATTGTCTATTTTGCTTAATCTCATAATTTCTTGGAAAAGCTCCTATCCTTCTGGTTACTTGCCTCCAAATGTATTCAATGATTCATTGTGTGTGTGTGTGTGTGTGTGTGTGTGTGTGTGTATACTTATCTGTGTGTGCAAGGGTACTTTATTTCCTTGAAGAAGAAAGTTGGTTTTGTGACAATACGAACTTCAGGAATTACATGTATGATATCAATGGCTAATGGCAAATGTACAAATTTAAGCACCTAAATATATACCAAATATATATTTTAAATCCACATTTTTATAAATAAATGCAAAATTTAAATGTGGTATTTCAGCTTCTTAAATTGTATGCTACATCTTCTTTTTGTTTATGGCAATTTTATTCACCAATACTTATTTTTAAAGATTTACCCAAATGTGACTTCCACAACAAATCTTCAACACTAATAATTGGATTAAGTAGAACAAAACATATTCTCAGTCAGGACTCTTGCTGTTATAACCCTATAGAGGATCATAGTCATTTTTTCTTAGTTTTTAGATTTCTTGGTTGAGAGTACAAGACCCTGTTGCTAATAAATTATAATAATATTTTAAGAATTAAAGCATGATATCTACAAATGAAGGAGAGATCTAAGTTAGAAATATAGGCATACATTTTTAGGGAATCAAATTTTTTTTCCTTAAACCTAGATGTTGAGAAATGTTAGTTGGTAATTATTGGTGAGTAAAAGTAAATGGAAAAGTATTTCCTATTTGATTTTCTTTACTGGAAAAACTAGTAAATCAGTCAGTTATATATATATATTAGTTATGGTTCCAAGAATTTCTATTTTTTATGCACTAAATATTCTTCTCTATTTTCAGCATGTAGGTTGTGACAATATTTTGGGATCTGATGCTAGGGAAGATAGATGTCGCGTTTGTGGAGGGGATGGAAGCACATGTGATGCCATTGAAGGGTTCTTCAATGACTCCTTGCCCAGAGGAGGTGAGTGTATAGAGAGAGAATTCCTCCTCTGGTATACTTGGAACAGCCCGAACACTTGGTTTTTCCTCCCACTTAATTTTTAATTTTATTTATTTAGGCAGATAGTGTTTTCAGTCACTTAAGTATTAAATGTGACTTCATGTAAAACAGAAGAGAGACCATGGAGTGGAGGAAAGGGATCCAAAGGGAGGGAGGAGGACAGGGAAAGAAAGGAGAGATACTGGGTAACAATATTGATTCCATCATGTTGTTACACTGTGTACATATATGAATATGTAATAATCCCACTATTATGTATAATTATAATGCACCAATAAACATGTGAGATATTTTAAAAATAAAAATAAGTAAAAATGATATTCATATATTTATATAAGATGTTTTAAGGAAATGTTATTTTCTATATGACTCCATTTAGCCATATTTCTTTCTTTTCTTTTTTTGTGGTGCTGGGGGTTGAATGAAAGGCAAGCACTCCACCATTGATTGATGCCCAGACCTAGAATTAATATTTTTGTTGTTATTATTGTTATTTTGAGATGGAGTCTCACTGTTACCCAGGCTGGCCTCAAACTCCTGGGCTCAAGCAATCCTCCTACCTCTTGAGTAGCTGGAACCACAGGAATGTGCCACTGTGACAGTTTACCATGTTTCTTTCTTTCTTTTTTTAAATATTTTTAGTTGTAGATAGACAGGATACCTTTATTTTATGTATTTATTTTTATGTGGTGCTGAGGATTGAACTCAGTGCCTCACACATGCGAGGCAAGCACTCTACCACTGAGCTACAATCCCAGGCCTACCATATTTCTTTAAAGTGTGAAAACCCACAGAGTATTGATGAAAGTCATGTGTTGAGAAAAAAAAGATATTATACTTGTTGAGACTTTAAAAAATCTCTAATTTTGAGAAAAATCAATACTTTTTCTATAAAATTTATTTATGAATTTGTGAACCCAAAGGAAATTTACCAATATTTCATAATTTATAAAGTACAGAGTCAAAGAAATAATAATGGAAAAATTAAGAACTGTTAATTATTGAATGTTACTAACATTCATTTTCTGGCTGCAGGTACTTATAATTGGCTATCTTCTATGTTCCAGGTTACATGGAAGTGGTTCAAATACCAAGAGGGTCTGTTCACATTGAAGTCAGGGAGGTTGCTGTGTCAAAGAATTATATTGGTAAGCTATTTTGCTAGATTTTAAAAATTAATGAGGAAAAGCAGCACAAATCAAGAAGCAAGAAACATACTGCTTCAAGGTAAAAACACTCATGCTAAAATGAAGGAAATTCCAAGTTTTATAAGACTACATGTAAAGTTGCTAAGCAGAAAAATTAGTGTTTTATTAAGTCTTACTCTTTGTGTGTGTATGTGGTGCTAAGGATCCAACCTAGGGCCTTGTGCATGCTGAGGCAAGCACTCTACCAACTGAGCTACATCCCCAGCCCCTAAATCTTACTCTTAACTGGGTTAATTATTTAATTTTTAACTCAATTTTATTGAGTTATAATTTACATATACTGAACCATTATAAGTGTAAGTTCATATAATATTAACAATTATATGTGTATGTGTGTGTATACACCTATTTATTTATCTTTATAAAAACTATGGCTAAGGGGGCTGGGGTTGTGGCTCAGTGGTAGAGTGCTTGCCATAGCATGCATGAGGCACTGGGTTCAATCCTCAGCACCACATAAAAATAAAGATATTATGTCCACCTAAAACTAATATATATATATTATATTAGTTTTATTATTATATATATTCAAAAATTTAAAAAAAACCCCATGACTAAGATAATGGAACATTTCTGTGATTCTAAAACTCTTTGATTCCACTTTGCAGTCAAATTCCTTCAGGCAAACATTGATCTACTTTTTGACATTGTATATATTATTTTTATTTATTCTAGCATTTCACATAAATGAGATCATAGAGTAATCTGGCTTTTTTCACTCAACATGGTTTTGAGATTCTTTTATATTGTTGTTTCCATTGTTCATTTCTTTTTATTGTCAAATAGTATTCTATTGTGTGAATATACTGTAATTTGTGCATTCACTTATTGATGTATACTTAATTCATATTACTAGTTTTTGACCATTATAAATTGGACATTCATAGGCCAGCTTTATGTGGACCTGTATTTTTATTTCCCCTGGAAAAGTTTCTGGGAGTAAAATATCTGAGTCATATGATTTTTAATCTAATATGCAATTACTTCATTATAGGAAACAGTATGGAGGTTCCTTAAAAAATTAAATAGATTACACAGCACTAAAAAAGAAAAAAATCATGGCATTTGCAGGTAAATGGATGGCGTTGGAGAAGATAATGCTAAGTGAAGTTAGCCAGTCCCCCCCAAAAAAATGCCAAATATTTTCTCTGATATAAGGGGGGGTGGCTCATAGTGGGGTAAGAGGGAGAGCATGGGAGGATTAAATTAATTCTAGATAGGGAAGAGGGGTGGGAGGGAAAGGGAGGAGGAAGGGGATTAACAAGGGTGGTGGAATGTGATGTCATCCTTATACAAAATACATGTATGAAGATTTGAATTTGGGGCCAACATACCTTATATACAAACAGAGATATTAAAAATTGTGGTATATATGTGTATTAAGAATTGTAATGCAAAAAAAAAGAGTACATGTGTAATGGCATAAGTTGGTGTGAACATACTGTATGTACAGAGATACGAAAAATAGTGCTCTATATGTGTAATAAGGATTGTAATGAAATAAATAAATAAATAAAATGCATTATAAAATGAAATTGTGAAAGTGAGGTGGTAGGGGCTGGGGATGTGGCTCAAGTGGTAGCACGTTGGCCTGGCATGCGTGAGGCACTGGGTTATATGGCACCACATAAAAATAAATAAAGATATTGTGTCTACCTAAAAAAACAAAAAATAAATAAATATTGAAAAAAAGAAAGTGAGGTGGTAGCAAAGTAAGTCAACAAATAAGTGAACAGAAGAGACTTCTTGAAAGCACCGAGGCATTTATGAAACAACAGCATTGTTCGTAAAAAGTGACCAGCCCCATAGGAAAGAATGCGTGATTCAACAAACCTTTTGAGGATAGAGCTACATGGGAGACAAAAACACCAGAGCAAGACCCTTGTCTTGCACCACGATCCCAAATAAACTCCAAATGGACTGACAAATTATAAGCAAAACTTAAAATTAAATAAAATTATAAAGTCCATAAAAATATAAAAATGAATATAAAATTCCTTCCTACTTGTGAGAGTTCTGCTATCTGAAAACCCCTGTGGTAAAAGAAATTCACAACTGACTAGCAAGAAGAACTTATGAGATGTGGTTTAAGGACATCAAGGTTAAAATTAACTCTGATGGGAGAGAGACAGAGACGGGTAGACGGACAATGAGCCAGGATGGTAAAATATTCATGGTTCCACCTCGTAGTGAGTGTGTGGGCCTCCATTGTAACAAAACTCCCAAACTTTTCATAATAAATGTTTTAGAAAAAGCGAAAAAAAATTAGATAGAAATACCATATAATCCAGTAATCATTTAATTTCTTTGAATATATATTAAAAGAAAATACAATCACTAACTCAAAGGGATATTTGCATTTCTGTGTTCATTGCAGCATTATCCACAATAGCCAAAGCATAGAAATAACTAAGTTTGTGTTGACAGTTGAGTGGATAAAAAAAAAATGTGTTATATTTACACAGTGGAATATTATTCTACCTTTAAAAACAAGGAAATCCTGCCATTTGTGATAACATGGATGAACTGGGAGCACATTATACTAATGACATAAGCCAGATGCATAAAGAAAAATACCACAATCTCTTTTATATGTACAATCTAAAAAAGTTAAACTCATAGAAACAGAAAGTACAGATTAGGTACCTTAAATTTATTCAATTTTATTTTTCAGTTATATTTTAAAGCTGGAAAAAAAAGAAAGAAATCACTAAACTATTTTCCAAAATGGATGTATAATTTTATATTCCCACCAGTAATATATATATATTAGAGTTCATGTTGTTCTACATCCTATCAATACTTGGTATTGACAGTTTAATTTTAGCCATATGAATATCTTTTTGTGTGAAGTGACTAAACAAATGTTTTACCTATTTAAAAATTTTTTGAGTTATGAATTATTTATTTATTCTATTCATTTATACATGACAGCAGAATGCTCTTTTATTCATTAGACACAAATGGAGCACAATTTTTTTTATTTGTTCTACTTAGTTGTACATGTTAGCAGACTGCATTACAATTCATTGTACACAAATGGAGCACAACATTTCAATTCTCTGGTTGTACACAGTGTAGAGACGCACCATTTGTGCAATCATACATGTACCTAGGGTAATGATGTCCATCTCATTCCATCATCTTTCCTACCCTCATAATCGCTCCCCTCCCTCCCCTTTGCCCAATCCAAAGTTCCTCCATTCTTCCCATGCACCCCCATCATAGATCAGCATCCACTAATCAGAGAAAACATTTAGCCTTCAGTTTTTCGGGATTGACTTTCTTCACTTAGCATAATATTCTCCAACTTCATCCATTTACCTGCAAGTGCTGTAATTTATTCTCTTTTAATGATGAGTAATATTCCATTGTGTAATATATATCACAGTTTCTGTATTCATTCATCCATTGATGGGCATCTTGGTTGATTCCACAGTTTGGCTCTTGTGTGTTGTGCTGCTATGAACATTGATGTGGCTGCATTACTGTAGTATGCTGTTTTTTAAGTCCTTTGGGTATAGACCAAGGAATGGGATAGCTGGGTCAAATGATGGTTCCATTCCAAATTTTCTAAGGACTCTCCATACTGCTTTCCAGATTGGCTACACTAATTTGCAGTCCCACCAGCAATGTATGACTATGCCTTTTCTCCCACATCCTCCCCAACACTTATTGTTGGAATTATGAATTCTTTGTATAGATCTATCTCCCAGAGGTCTGGGAGTAGGGTAACAGAAAGATGATTGCCAAAGAGAACAAGCTTTCAGTTATGAGATGAATACATTTAGGAGATTTAATATACCATAATTAATAATAATGTGTTGTATACTGGAAGTTTGCTAGAACAAATTTGCTAGGACAGTATTATTCTTACACATCAAAAGAGGCTACTATGTGAGGTAATATGTTATTTAGCTTGATTGTGGTAATCATTTCACAGTACATACCAGATTATCAGATTATGTACCTTAAGTTTATTCAATTTTATTTTTTAGTTATATTTTAAATCTGGGGGAAAAAGAAAGAAATCACTAAACTACTTTCCAAAATGGATGTATCATTTTATATTCCCACCAGTAATGTAGTAATAATGTAATGTTGTTCTACATTCTATCAATACTTGGTATTGTCAATTTTTAAAGTTTTAGCCATATGAATATCTTTTTGTGTGAAGTGACTAAACAAATGTTTTACCTATTTAAAAATTTTTTGAGTTATGAATTTTTTATATATTCTGTATACAACTCTCTGTCAAATGTATATTTCATGAATATTTTCTCCTAGTTTGTGGCTTATTTCTTTCCTTCCTTCCTTCCTTCCTTCCTTCCCTCCCTCCCTCGATCCCTCCCTCCCTCCCTCCCTTCCTTCCTTTCTTTCTTTTACTGGGGGTTCAACCCAGGTGTTCAAGCATGTTGAGCAACAGTTGCATCCCTGGCCCTTGCTTACTTATTTTTAAGTGATGTCTTTTAATTCTGATGAAATATAGTTTATTAAACTTTTTATGATTTGTGCTTTCATGTCCTATCTTAGAGATTTTGCCTATTCCAAGGTGGCAAATGTTGTCTTCAGTGTTTCTTCATGAAACTATACCAACTGGAGGTATAGTTTCATGGTAGAGTGCATGCTTAGCATGTGCAAGGCCCTGGGCTTAGTCACCAGCATCCCTTCTGTCCCCACAAGAAAGTTACAGTTTTAGTTTTTACATGAAGATGTGGTCCACTTTTAGTTGATTTTCATATAAGGTATAAAGTAAGACGGGATTCCAGTTTTACCATATGAATATGTGATTGCTATAGCACCATTTGTTGAAAATATCATCATTTCCCCATTAAATTACCTTGACACATTTGTTAGAGATCAACTGAGCACGTGTATATGGATATATTTTTGGTCCTACCTGTTGATCTCTGTGTCTATCCTTAAGCAAAAAAATACGC